GATGTTGTGTTCGCCGAGAACTAAAAAATAAATATTAAAAAAATTCTCTCTCTCTCTCTCTCCTCTCTCACTCTCTCTTTAAAAAAAAAAAAAAAAGACCAAAAACTGTGAGAAACAGACACAAGTAAGAGCTCTGAAATGTTAGGATGGCCCCAGGGCAATGTCATGGTTTCCTTATAGGCTGACAGCAGCACCCCTCCCAGGACAGCAGTGAGATCAAATAGGACAGTGCATTGGGTGCACTCAGCCTGGGTGGGCTCATTCAGATGACTCAGTGTTGAGGATCAAACCCAAGGCTTCCTGCATGCCAGACAAGTGCTCTACCACTGAGCCACATCCCCCTAGCCCAAAGTGAGTCCATTAAAAATTACCCTTTCAGCTGGGCACAGTGGCACAAGCCTGTAATTCCAGCCAAGGCAGGAGGATTCAGAGTTCAAATCCAGCCTCTGCAAAAGTGAGAGGCTAAGCAACTCAGTGAGACCCTGTCTCTAAATAAAATACAAAATWGGGCTGGGGATRTGGCTCAGTGGTCAAATGCCCCTGAGTTCAATTCCTAGTACGGCTCCCTGCAAAAAAGTAAAAATAAAAAGTTACCCTCTTATAAAGGAAATTAAATAATATTTGGGTATTTCCTCCAAAAAATTGGAAATGTTTTCTAGGTTTGCAGGTTAAGCAAATGAATTGGAGAAACTAAGACACAAGGACAAACAGCAGTCCAGCACAGGTATGACTACAGTGAGTAGTGTCTATGACAAAATTATGGTCATAAAACCTTTTAGTGTTCATATTTATTGGCTATTCCTCAATTAAATCCCAGCCAAATTCCACCTACAAAGTCCACCTAACAATTMTCATTTAAAGTACCTTATTAAACTCTGAGCTACTGCGGGCAAGGATGACTTCTAGTTCTTGGTCTTCCTGTGGCCTGACCTGGGTGTACTCCTGAGGAAATACCTACCCACAGCCCCCTCCTGACCAGGACACAAGTGCAGGCCACCACAGCTTATACCACAGGAGTTGGCTCCCCAGTCTCAGCCACCTGCCTAAGACAGTTGACATTGACCCAAGGTGAGTGGAGAGGGCCAAACAGTGCAACTCTACCACTTTCTGTCTTTTGGCCTGCATCAAGACATTTGGCTTCTCTGAGCCCCAGTTTTCTCATCTGTAAAATGGGAACAAATCACCTGTCTTCATCCTAATGAACACCTACATGATTGTGAGGCAGAAAAGAACTAAAAAGCATTCAGCATCGAGTCCAGTGTCAGATCCCTGGTTGGCACCAGCAAAAAAATGGCTTATGACCTTAGGAAGGGGGCTCCTTGCAGGACTGGCACCAGCGCTTATTCAGTCAAACCCCCAGGTCCAGGGAAGAGGCTCCTTACAGGGGGATGATCCTCATAGGGAGCTGGAACAGCAGGCGGTACTGGCTCTTCCTCATCAACTCCAGCCCCTGGAACTCATGCATCATGTAATCCATATATTTCTCCTGCCTCAGAAAAATCAGGAAAGGGAGGGTAGATATTAGCAGTTCAGCAGTCACCTTCGGAAACCCAAGTGGTTTCTAGTGTCTTCCTCATCCCTCCCCAGCTCCTTCCAAGGGTTTCTGGGCTATTTCCTGAGCACTCAAGGGAAGTGGCTAGACAACAGACCTGAGTTTGAATCCTGAACATGGGAAAGCCTAATCGAAAGCATCTGTTAATTCAGCAAAGCAGCCCCTCTCCTGAACTCCCTCAGCAATGCTGAGGATAGCTCTCTATTTACCTCTACTCTAGAGATAAGGAGGAGTCCCTTATGTAAGCATGTGTAAATTGCCAAATTCATGTACCAAGTTAACAACTGGAAAGAACCCAAAACTAGGACCATYTGGGCAACTCTAGGCTCCAAATAACTTCATGAAAATATTGCCAGAGCCAAAACAAGAAACAGGAGTCAGCTACGCAGGAGGCAAAGACGGGAAAATTGCTCGAGCCTGTAGATTAAACACCAGCCTGGGCAACAACAGCAAGACCAAGACCTCATATCAACAAAAAATAGAAAGAGATAGAGGTATTAAGAAGGATTGTTGTGTAGCTGAGCACAGTGGCCCATGCCTATAATCCTAGCAGCTTGGGAGGCTCATGCAGGAAGATTGCAAGTTCAAAGCCAGACTCAGCAAAAACAAGGCGCTAAGCAACTCAGTGAGACCCTGTCTCTAAAAAAAATACAAAATAGAGCTGAGGGTGTGGCTCAGTGATCAAGTGCCCCTGAATTCAATCCCTGGTATCCTTCCGCCAAAAAAACAAAAAAAAAAATAGAAAAAGAAGGATCATTGTGTAGATGGTGGAGAATGCTAGAAACATTTACTAAAGAATGTTTAGAGAAATAAAAGCAAAAAACTTTCAAAAATAAAACCTGCAATATATACTTAAACTAAGGGGGTAGGAGGGATGCCATGGTAGTTCACAAATACAAAATTACATACAAGAGGAAGTGAGGGGAAAGGGAAAAATAACACAAGGGGGAGGAATGAATTACAGTAGAGGGGGTAGAGAGAGAAGAGGGGAGGGGAGGGGAGGGGAGGGGGGATAGCAGAGGATAGGAAAGGCAGCAGAATACAACAGACATGAGTATGTCAATATGTAAATCAATGGAAGTGTAACTGATGTGATTCTGCAATCTGTATATGGGATAAAAATGGGAGTTCATTACTCCTTACTAAAAAGCTGACTTTATAGAGATCTCTGTTGGGTATGCGGCAAAGGGGCGGTTCTGAGCCTTGGCTCGGAGCAGACCTTTCTTATTAAACATTTCTGCACTGTGAAAAAAAAAAATGGGAGTTCATAACCCACTTGAATCAAAGTGTGAAATATGATATATCAAGAACTATGTAATGTTTTGAACAACCAACAATAAAAATAAATAAATAAATAAAAGAATTGTAACACACACAAAAAAAGGAAGATCCCTGGCGGGGCTGGGGATGTGGCTCAAGCCGTAGCGCGCTCGCCTGGCATGCGTGCGGCCCGGGTTCGACCCTCAGCACCACATACCAACAAAGATGTTGTGTCCGCCGAAAACTTAAAATATTAAAAAAAAAAAAAAAAAAAAAAGAAGATCCCTGGGTTTGAATATTGCCTCAACTATTAGATAGTTCTGCAACCCTGGGCAAGTTCCTAACCTCTATGCTTCAGTTTCCCACTTCTACCCCATAGAATTCTTGTGAGGTTTAAGTAAACCTTAAATAAAGTGTGAGGTCTCACACTTTKAAGTGCTTTGCAGGGTGCCCTATGTCATCTTTACTGCATCAACATGTCATGCTATGTTTCTACTTTGCTATATGTTTACATGCCATATGTGCTCATTATAGAACATTCAGAAACAGAAAAAACAAAACCACTATTACTGCTATCCTATAAAACTCCAATATTTTTGGATTTAATAGCCATAGGTTCCTCTTCTGAGTGACTATAAAGAGCCAAGAGATGGTCATAATACTGGCTTGGATTCCCTAAGCTGCATAAGAGGCTGGTATGCAGGATAGCCACATGTCAGAGAAACCCCACAAGAAGGTCTCACACAAGGACCATGGACACTTGTCACACACTCTCCCATACCCTACTGCAGAATGAATTGCAATGAGCCCCGCTGACAGAAGTCTCAGGAAGGACTCCTAAGAGATATCAAGTTTCCTCCCTGGGCATGGTGGCGCACACCTGTAATCCCAGCAACTAGGGAGGTTAAGGCAGGAAGATCACAAGTTCAAAGCTGGCCTCAGCAACTTAGCAAGTCCCTGTCTCAAAAAATAAACAGAGCTGAGGATGTGGCTCAGTGGTCAAGCACTCCAGGTACCAGAGAGAGAGATACCAAGGTTCCTCTACCTGGCAAGCACACCAACTAGTGCCAGAATCCAAAGGGAGATTTTCTGATGCTGTTACTGCCTCCCATCTTCATACCTCCATTTGCTCCACCTGTTTAGGACTGTATCCTCCAGCCTCCCCGAGATACTTGAAGCAGCAAGGATACCCTCCTCACCCAGGTGATGAAGCCATTACAATTTGAGTCCACCTTCAAAAACAGGGTCTCCAGCATCTCATCTGACACATTCTGCAGAACCTTCTTCATGGTCTTAGTGAAAGCTCCCAGATCCAGGACTTAAAGAGAGAAAACATTATTCACTCAATCACAAGTCACAGAGGGCCACGGTGGCCATAGGTGCTGAGGGGGCACAAGGAGAGGATATCTACTAGGTGCCTACAGTTCAAGGCACTCTCTGCTCCCTCCCCCACGACGATCAGCTGGATCACTGGAGGGGAAACGGAAAGAAGCCTTAGGCAGCTGCCTTCTCCTCAGCCCCTTGAGGAGTCGCCCCAGCTACCCTTCCTTTACCTCCCCAGCAGAGGCCCAATTGATTTCATCACTTGGTTATCTTTTACATATTTTTTTAATCTTAGGTACAGGAGATTGAATGCAGGGCACTCTACCACCGAACTACGTCTCTTGCTGTTTTTAGGTTTTATTTGGAAACAGAGTTTCACTCAATTGTCTAGGCAGTCCTTGAATTTGGAATCCTCCTGACTTAGCCTCCAGAGTCAGTGGAATTACAAGCATGCACCATGGCACCAGCTCTTTGAAAGCTTTTTAAAAGAGAAAAATGATCCTATTTGCCCTTACTTTAAAACATCAATGAAAGGAGAATTTTCCTTTTCCTCAATTAATACCACAGCCAGCCTTTAAAAACAAGGAAGTTCTTTTTAGACTGATATGAAAATATCTCAGCCTGGGGATATGGCTCAAGCAGTAGCGTGCTCGCCTGGCATGCACGGGCCACTGGGTTCGATCCTCAGCACCACATAAAAATAAAATAAAGATGTTATGTCCACCGAAAAAACTAAAAAATAAATATTAAAAAWWTTTTTTTWAAAATCTCTAAGACATATTAAGTAAAATAAAAACTTAAAAAACAAGGTGGAAAACTTGTGAAAAATTAATTTTAAGAAATATCAAGGAGGGGCTGGGGATACAGCTTGGTGGCAGAGAACTTGCCTCGCACGGCGCAGCCAGGCATGGAGGTGCACACTTGTAATCCCAACCACATAGGAGGCTGAGGCAGGAAGATCTCAAATTCAAGACCAGTCTCAGCAACTTCGCAAGGTCCTAAGCAACTTAGTGAGGCTCTCTGTCTCAAAAAATAAAAAGAACAGGGGTGTGGCTCAACAGGAGGGTACTCCTGGGTTCAACCCCCAGTATCAAAGCAGGGAAAAAAAGTAAATAGAACAGTGTGGGTCACAAGCTGTCACTGCATAGAACTCACCATCTTGCTTCTAAAGGTCACAGGAAATTGAAAGCAGTAACCGCCTGCAGCAACACACCTGGGCAGCATGGATGGGGGGAAAGACTTTCTCCACATACTAAAAGGTATCCTGGAAAAAGTACTTTCTGCATTTGAACTGTGTGAACACACTGTGTATTCAAAAGTAACCCGTACATGACAGGAACCATGGCTAAAGTAAAAAATGTTAGGTCCTCCATGATCCAGTGGTGGTAAAACCAAGCAAAAGTCTGAATAGACCTTCACACTTCACTTGACTCCAGTTTCTTGCTTTTAGTGGACGTCATACAGCTAAGAAATGTAATTAGTCTGTCATTAGCTCTGTTTAGGTAGCACCTCTGACATGTGGGTTATGATAACCATGGTTGCCTGGATTGTTTTTCAGGAACCTGAAGGCCACTTTTGTTGAAACCACCAGCTCCTCCCATGGGTGACCTTTTGACATGAGGCCCAAAACCCCACCCTCAGACTGTGCTGACACAACCACTTTCTGAACATGTGGCCCATARAAAGCCACACAATTTGACTACACATGCTCAGGCCACTACTTCACCTCCAGTCACCTTTCTCCGTGTCTTAAATCTCCCTGTTTCTTTATCCCATCAATGTTCCCAAATCCTCTCCTGGGAGAGGTAGATTTGAGATTTGGGGTCTCCCACCTCCACACTTGGCTGCCTCTTAAATACTTTCTCTTTCACAAAACTTGTTGTTTCAGTGATTGACAGGAAAAAATGGGCCTAGCTAGGTAACACTGGCACCTCCTGGCTGCAAACATCAACACTGGAAAACCCCAGCTGGAACCATCTCATCTTCAGGTCAGACATGAAGTGCCTCTTGGAGGCATCACTTCGTTATGTTTCCTGCCCACATCAGAGAATAGTTGTAAAGCTCAAAAGAAATGAACTGGGCCAGGAGCAGTGCAAATGCCTGTAATTGATTTTATGGGTATTTATTTATTTGTGCTATTATAAAGTCAAAAAATTCTTGCCTCACATACGTGAGGCACCTGTGCTGTATTCTCTAGCCACGAGAATATGGTACAGGTGACAGGATATGCAAGACTATATGCATATGGCCACATAACAGTGCACATGCCTCCTGTTGCTCAGGAGGCTGAGGCAGGAGGACTACTGGTCAAAGCCAGCCTCAGCAATTTAGCAATGCCCTAAGCAACTTAGTGAGAACCTGTCTCAAAATAAAATATAAAAAAARGCTAGGGTTGTGGCTTAGTGGTTAAGTGCCCCTGGATTCAATCCCTGGTAACAAAAAAAAAAAGAAAGAAATGGGAGGGGCTGGGGTTGTGGCTCAGTGGTAGTGTGCTTGTCTAGCAGGCATGACACACTGGGTTCGATTCTCAGCACCACAACTACAAAAAATATTAAAGAAAGAAAAAAAGATGAAGTGAGAAAGTAGATGGGGCCCTGTCTCTAGTGGCTATAAAGAAAGATGCCTTAATGGATTTCTGTTATTAGACTTTTAGGAGTATTGTCCCAAGGGGGAGAATTCAAGTTCTAAAGAAAGAAAAAGTCTGATGTGCAAAGGGTATCCTCAAAACATTATTTACACTTGACAAAATCTAAATATGCAAAAATACAGGAATGGCTTAGTCAACCAGGGAACACTTAGATCTATTAATAATGATAGTTTAGAAGACTACACAGGAATAAGGAAAAATCCTTAAGATATTAAGTGAAAAAGAGTCTGAAATTACATATACACGGTATCTGACTTACAATTTTTCTTTTTTAAAATATCTTTATTAGGGGCTGGGGATGTGGCTGAAGTGGTAGCGCGCTCGCCTGGCATGCGTGCGGCCCGGGTTCGATCCTCAGCACCACATACAAACAAAGATGTTGTGTCCACCGAAAACCAAAAAAAAAATATTAAAATTCTTTCTCTCCTCTCTCTCTCTCTCTCTTTTTAAAAAAAACATATATCTTTATTATATTTACTTATTTTTTATGTGGTGCTGAGGATTGAGCCCAGTGCCTCAGGTATGTGAGGCAAGAATTTTTTGGCTTTATAATAGCACAAATAACTAAACACCCATAAAATCATTGTTGTTTTTAATGGTTTTTATTTTTATTTTTTTCAGGGGGAGGGGATGATAGGGATTAAACCTAGGGGTGCTATATCACTGAGTTATATTCCTAGTGTTTTTTTATTTTTTGCTTTTTTGAGACAGAATCTCAAATTGCCCAGGCTGGCCTTGAACTTTCRATCCTCCTGCCTCAGCTTACTGAGTCCCTAGGATTACAGGAGTGCACTATTTTTATAGTATTAAGTAGATTTTTAACACCTTATTATAAAACAGGTTTTGTGTTGGATGATTTTGCCCAACTAGGAGCTGAGCACATTTAAGCTAGGTTAGATTAAGCTGTGGTGTTTAGTAGGTTAGGGGTACTAAATGCATTTCAGCTTGTGATATTTTCAGTTTGCCAGACATACCCCATTTTAAGTCGAGGAGTATCTATCTGTATGGAAGGATTACAGATACATGAAAACAAAATGCCATCTGTTCTAGGGAGGAAGCCCCCAGTATATCTGCTTCCTAGCTCAGGCCCTCCTGTGGTTCCCTCCTGCTAAGTAGGGTAGGACTTGTTACCTGCTTCTAGCCAAGAGAATATGGCACAGGTGACAGGATATGCAAGACTATATTCATACGGCCACAGAACTGTTCTATGAGATTGCAACACAGTTCTGCTGGAGCGGCTCTCTCCCTGGTTAACTTGAGCCTTTTGAGAAGCCATGTTGGTGACTCCTACATGGCCAGGAACTGAGGGCAGTGTTGGGAGCTGAGGGCAGTCTCCCATCAACAGCCAGCAAGAAATGGACACCCTCAGTACTAATGCTACAAGGAATTAAATTCTGGAAGTGAGCTTAGAAATGGGTCCTTTACCAGTCAAGCCTCAGATGCCACTGCAGCCCCAGCTGACAACAGATTTATGGCAGAAGAGCTATGACCATGGTCATGCTAACGACCCACCAGAACTGTGAGATAATAAATGTACAATAAGCAATTAAAATTGTGGGACTACTGTTTCACAGAAATAGATAGTACAACATACATGAAACTGGAAAAAAAATACAACAAAATATGCTAATAGCAGTTTGCTTCTGCGTGTTTGGACTAGAGATATATTTTAATAGATCCCAGGTAAACTTCAATATGCTTTCACTACTTAAACAATGTTTAAAAGGTTTTTTGTTGTTGTTGTTGTTGTTTTAGTATCAGGATTAAACCCAGGAGCGCTTAACCACTGAACCACATCCCCAGCACTTTTTTTAATTTTGAGACAGGCCCTCACTAAGTAGCTTAGGACCTTGCTAAGTTGCTGAAGCTGGCTTGGAACTTGCCATCCTCCTGCCTCAGCTTCCCGATTTGCTAGGATTACAGGCATGTGCCACCATGCCTAGCTGATAAAAAGTTTTAAATGAGATACTGTACCCAAAAGTGTTTGTCACGTCTGAGCCCTCAACACATCCCAGACATGGGGTCCTATTCAGAAATCAAAAAGACTGAAACTGCAGTATGCTTTACCTCCATTTGAATCAATGTTCTCCGCAAACATTCTCTCTAACTTGGCCAGGTGTAGCTCAGAAAACAGCGGAGTCCTGTGTTCAGGCATCTGGCCACATGTGATGGATGATATCTTGGGTGTGGGAGCCTTCTTGTCCTGGAATTCACCTGGGCTAGATGGCTGGAACAAATTTGACTACAAAAATGAGGGTCTGAGAGGGTTAATCTTTGAGACAAGCATTTTCCAGTACATTTCTCTTACTTAAAGAGAAAATCTTTGGGGAAGAACAAGTAGTGTAAGACTACTACAACTAATGGAAACAAATAAATTGTGCCCACTTTGAGGCCTAGAAAGATCAGGAAAAAATCTAGACTAGACTGCAAGGTCAGGGATTTGGCTCAGTAGAAGAACTATCCAGCGTGTGTGAGGCCCTGAGTTTGGTCCTCAGCACAAAGAAAGAAGGAAGGAAGGAAAGAAAGAAAAAAATGAAAGAAAAAGAAAAATACGGACTGTGGTTCTTGGAGGAATTAATCTTGTTCCCCTTCTCCAGATGCCACAGCTGAGGTTCAGGGCAGACACAAGGGCTTCGGCTCCAGTGACAAAGCAAGTGTGCTTACCCTCCTGTGGATGCTCACTCCCATGATCCACGAACTCACTTCGTGCCTGACACTGTGGGTACAACGAGCGAGGAGGCCCTGCCAGGAGACCCTGCCTCCACGCAGCCCAAGAGATGGAGTCAGTGTTCTCACCACCTACCCAGGCCCCTAGTAGACATTCAGCACTACGCCATCTTAAGCGCTTCCCTCTTCTCCCTTATTATTGTGTTTTTTTGGGGAGGGGGTGTCACTGGAGATTGAACCCAGAGATGCCTTACTACTGAGCTATACCCCCAGTGCTTTTTTTTTTTTTTTTTTTAAAGACAGTGTCTTGCTAAGTTGCTGAGGCTGGCCTCAAACTTGCAATCCTCCTGCATCAGCCTCCCAGGTGGCTAGGATTATAGGCATACAGTAGTGCACCCAGTTTCTAATCTACCTTTCTAATTTCCAAGAACAAACCATGTTCCAGGCACACCAACTGCTCTCCCACCCCTATATGACAAGTGTTCCTCTTGTATGCACTGTCCCCATGCACAGTTTACCCCACCTCTCCCTGGGTGAACTTCTACCCATCTGCAGAGGCTGGCTCAAATGGCACCTCCTTCAAAGAGCTTTTCCTTAACTTTCAGATGAAAAGTACCACTGCCACCTCCACATTTCCAGGTGCTCTGCCTATTCCTGCCATGCTTGGCAGGCATCTAGCTACACAAGTAGACAGCAAGATGTCAGGAAAACATCATGGCTGTGGCTCAGAGCTGCGGGTTAGAATTCTGCCTGGCTCCCCCATTTACAAGTTATTTTATCTTGGGATTCTCGAATCCCTTCCCCAAGCCACAGATTTTGAAAGCAAGGGCACATTAATTTTCCTTAATTTATACTAATTATCTTATTACCCAGCCCCAAGCACTTACTACTTCATACTTATCTGTCTCGAGATTAATCAGTGTAGCCCATCTCACCCTTATCACCACTTAGTTGGACAAAATCAAGTATGGGCCAGGGATGATCTGTGAATTCGGGTGCTATTTACAGTGCACTACCTACCTGGCCTGTGAACACCTGAGTCTGCAACACCTAGTGCAGAAGCAATGGATTCCTGTGCTCATGGTGAGTTCAGGGTGGCTCCAGAACACCCCCGCACTGTACGTTCACTCTGGTGGTCTGCTTACCTTTTGAGGTTGAGGGCTTTCTTCGAAGTTCTCAGAAGATTGTGATGTTAACCTAAGACAGGGAATCACAGTCACTTTAACTCCAGTTTTGAAGGACCATGTGAGGCTGACAGAGCCAGGCCGCAGGAGAGAGGAAAAGACACGATCAAGGGGGGCAGGTAGCTGCCCATTGCCCATGGATACTCCTAGCAAGCATTTGAAGAACATCCTTTTTTCCAGTGTCTTCTCTAGCAGAGAACTGCCCCCAAGTTGACAACTAAGTTTTCCTTTCCCTAATGGAATGGAGTGGTCCTACTTCTGAATTTATGGAGCTTCTCAAGTTACTTTACTTCTGACTTAAAGCCAGAGGCTTCCTAAAGGTTGGGGGGCAGGTATCAATCTTCCTACAGAAGAAATTTAGGGAACTATATGGTAGTTCAAAAATAATTCACAGGAAAACAGGGCCAGAGGTAGGTCCACTTATAAAGGTCAAAGACATGCACCAGAGGTGGGGCAAAACGAGCCCTGAACTTCCAGAACCCTCCCAGCCTGCCTTCCATGCCCTTGCAGGCAGGATTTCTCAGGGATGGGGCAGAGCTTAAGGAACTCTGTTTTTTGGTAATCAGGGTTTGAACTCAGGAGTATTCAACCACTGAGCCACATACCCAGCCCTTTTTGTATTTTATTTAGAGACAGGGTTTGAGTTGCGTAGCGCCTCCCTTTTGCTGAGGCTGACTGAATTTGTGATCCTCCTGCCTCAGCCTCCTGAGCTGCTGGGATAATAGGTTGAAACTCTTTTTTTCTTTTTTTTTTTTAAGTTTTTGATGAACCTTTATTTTATTTATTTATATGTGGTGCTGAGAATCAAACTTAGTGCCTCACACATACTAGGCAAGCATTCTACCACTGAGCCACAACCCCAGCCCATGGAAACTCGCTTTTTGGCAGCATGAGGATCAGGCAAGAGCTGCATTCCCCGTAGCTCTGCTCTCAGAATGTAAAGGGCATATTCCTATTGGGCCCATACTTTGTTAGGATCCTTAGAAACCAATCTAGTYAATCAGCAAGTCTCCTCAAGCAAGAGTGGAAGGGCCGTTCTAGGGTGGCAGGAAAAGGCAAGCCAAGGTAAGACAGGGAAAGGCAAGCCAGGAAAGGCAAGCATGACATGCACAGGGGATTGGCCACCTGAGATACCTGGCTTGAACAAGGACTGGGAGGAGGTGCGAAGGAGGGAGCAACAGTGGGAAAGGAGAATGGAAAAAAGAAATTATAAGCAAAATGCAAAATCTTAAATATCTTCCCAGGAAGACTGAATGAAATAAAGGGAAATTATAAAAATTCTCAGCATAGGATAGAGAGCAAGAGGAGGAGGAGGAAGACGACAGAGGATCCATCATGAGCATCCTTTCCTAATGGTGTCTTGAATATAGTTCAGATGTAAAGACCAAAGGAGAGAAAGCAGCTGCATGGAAAAGAGGTTTCCAAGTCAAGAACCAGAATAACTGAGGGAAGTGAATCCTTTCCAGAAAAAGGAGCAGAGAATGAAAGTGGTCTTGTGTACATGACAAGAGGCTGTCCAGATAGACATGAAACACGAACACCTGGGAATCTGGGATCTAACATTTAAGGGGAAGCTACCTTGAGGGGAAAGGAGAAAACAAAAGACACAGAAGGGTGGGTCGCTTCAGTAAGCCAAATCTGGGTGAAGGGGATTCTTTACACAATGCTACAACTATTTTAAATATAATTATTTCAAAACTGTAAGAGAAATATATCTTCAACCAAGAGAACAGCTTTGTGTATGTTCACAGACCAAGGCAAAGAACCTTTTTAAAAAGCCACTAAAGAAAAGGACAAGGGGCGGAGGTGTCAACAGTCCAGTAGTGCTTGCCTGGCATGCATGAGCCCTGGGCTCAATCCCCAGTACCACCAAAAAAAAAAAAAAAAAGAGGCTGGTGTTGTGGCTCAGTAGTAGAGTGCTTGCCTAGCACATGTGAGGCACAGGTTCAATTCTCAGCATCACGTAAAAATGAATAAAAAATAATTAAAGTTTAAAAAAAGTGTAAAAGAGGGAAATAGAAATACTACTTCCAATACTAGAGAAAACAGAAATGAAGAGTTCAATTTATATCCAGAATTAGAGCCAGACACAGTGGCACACTCCTGCAATCCCAGCTACTTGGGAGGTTGAGACAGGAGTGAAAGTTCAAAACCAGCCTTAGCAACTTAGCAAAACCCTTTCTCAAAATAAAAGAGGGCTGGGGTTGTAGCTTGGTGGTGGAGCACTTGCCTCACATGTATGAAGCACTGGGTTTGATCCTCAGCACCACATAAAAGTAAATAATTGTATTTTTTAAAAATCATTCATTTAAAAAAAAAAAGGATGGGGATGCACCTAATTGGTAAAGTACCTGAGTTCAATTCCTAGAGCAGAAAAATAAAATACGACTAGCGAACAGATAAGATTAGAAGTCACTGACTGGCATCAGGTTGAGAGTTTGGAACAGCTACTAGGGCAGCATGCCAGGCATGGATGGAGAATAACTGGTTGGCACTTAATAGGGGCAGATGACTGAAGGCTAACAGCATTTGCAGCTGTCCCAGAAATGGAAGAGATGCTCTCCTCTGGGCACATGGGTGCACACCTGTAATCCCAGCAACTCAGGAGACYGGGGAAGAGGATCGTAAATGTTAGGTGCCAGCCTGAGCAATTTAGCAAAACCATACCTCAAAATTAAAAATCAGAAACAGCTGGGGATATAGCTCAGCAGTAGAGTTCTCCTTGGTTAAATTCCCAGTACCCCCAAAGAGAGAGAGAGAGAGAGAGAGAGAGAGAAAGCAGCAAGAGAGATGCACTCCTCATTCCCATCCAGCCTTTCATGTCAAGCAAGTGAATCTTAAGGCCAAGATGTCCAATTTTGGAAGAACAATAACCCAAATGCTCACTCACCCTGACCCAATTTGATTTCTCCAGTTAACTACACTGGCTGACAGGGAGCTATCAGCTTTCAACTCCCATTTAATGTGAGACATCTTGGCAGCTGTCCCTGAGTTCAAGATAGCTCCTCTATGAAGCTGCTGTGGAACTCTTAAGGGCTTCCACCTAAATGGTCACATTTAGAACAGGGAAATAAGAGGATTCCACATGAAGAACATAAATGGAATATCAGAATCCAGCCCACAAACCACAACCACACAGCCATTTTTCATCCAACATGAGATATTCTTTTTATTAATGARGTTGAACTTACAGCAAAGAGTGACAGGAGACAGTACAAATAGCCAGGACAAAATACAAAACAATCCATAGGACAAGTACAGGTACCGCCCAATAAGAACCACGGAAAATGCCAGGGAGCCCTATGATATAAAGCAGGATTCACCCAAACCTAAAGGCCCCCCAGGTGGGACAGCAAAAGGCACATTGGCTCTCTAACACCCTCTGCATGAGCTCCACTTATATGAAAAGAGGAAGGCAACAAGAACATTATGTTTGAGAAGGGAGACTCACAAATCCAGGCTTCAGAGCAAGCCTGAACCTGATGTAACCTCTGCACAACCTTGGTCCATGGCACAACAGCAGGGCATGTTGGTGAAAGTCAAATCTCTTAATAGAGATTTCAAACAGGGACATGGATCCAGATCTTAAAAGATCACACATTTAAACCAGGAAAATCATACTCAATGAGAAACTGAATGTTACCAAAATGCCAATCAATCACCAGACAAAACATTCTCCCTGACCTAAACAGAGAACACCAACATACCAAAATAATTTCTGCTCCCATTCATCAATAATGGAGACAAAGAAAGTCGGTGGCATAAGCCTGTGATCCCAGTGACTTGGGGGGCTGAAGCAGAAGGGTTGCAAACTTAAGGCCAGCCTTGACAACTTCA